GGGGGGGGGGGGGGGGAAGAGTCAGGCAAAGGAGAGATTGCCTACAGAAATTGCTTGCTCCCCCCGGCCCCCAGAGCACAGAGATTGAAGAGGAAGAGATTTTAAAAGAGTACTGTAAGCTGTTTGGCCCATGGCTCCCAGCTCTGGGCTGCCAGTGCAATCACATTGCTTTTGATGTGTAGAAGAGCAAACAGCCTACTTTCTTACAATCCCTGTCTCTCCGATCTCTGCTGTGCATGGGGGGAAAAAAGAAAAAAACACAAGTCAGGTACAGGACAACATGTACTGACTGTAATGCCAATCACGTGACTGAGGGACACAGCTAAGGTCATAAATAGTCGTGAATGGGCGTAAAATTATTTTTTCAGCACCGTCATAACTTTGAACAGTTGCTGAACAAATGGTCAGTAAGTGAGGATTACCTGTAACTACATGATAAAGTATTACAAAGAATTAGAGTAGAAAGACAGTGAAACAGGAAGCATAGGCTAGGCAAAAAAAAAATCACATGTTAGGAGGAAAAATGGAGTGAGGAAAAATGAAGAGAGGCAAGGTGAGACAAGGGAAGAATTTTTCCTCCTGATTTTAAGGCACATAGGATTATTCTGAGCTTTAACAGAAACACACAAATGTAGCATTTTCTTAAAGCAGGTTACTTTTAATTATCAACAGCCATGCTTATTTGAGACAACTGAACTTCAAATAGGATTTATGATACATACAGCTTGGCCATACACTGCTTCCTGGGGCTTGCCACTGGCATCTAATCCACCATGGACATACGAAGAATTCCTGCCATAAAACCTTTAAAGAAATTAAACAACAGTATTTAAGATTATCATATGGAAGCATATTCTAAAATATTTTATTTTTGACATTTTGAAATGAAGTGGTAGGATTCAAAAAGCAGGATAATTTATATCCTGCCTTTTCTACAGGAACTCAAAGCAATGTACATAGCACTCTGTTCTCCTCTCCCTAGCAAACACCTTGTGAGGTACACAGGGCTAAGAGAGACCGCAAGCCCAGACTCATCTAGTAAGCTTCCATACTTTAACTATACCTTAATCATCACAGCAAACTGACCCAATAGATATAGTTGGTAAAAACTGATATGAGTAGTCCTTGCTTAACAACAGTAATTGGGACTGGCAACTCTGTTGCTAAGGGCAAGCTCACTCCTCCTGAGGCAGCAGCAATGCTAACAGCTTGCATCATAGCGGATGAAACTGAGGATAAACTGAAAGAGGAGATCTCTCCCCCTTGCTTAAGAGAAGGAGGTGCTGGTTCTGAGGTTTAGGCAGGTAGCCCAATACCTTCTGTTAGCAACCCAGGGACTGAGATCAAAGGCCAAGACAGCCTCTTCCTAAATCTCAGCCAACAGTGCATGGTGGTAGTGGTGACCCACATGGGCCCTAGCAGACCACTCAGTACCACCAAAGCAGGGAACATGAGGGCCTTAGTACCGCCTCTGTCTGGCTCTGTCTGGCAGCATACCTCATGCACCATCATCAACAGGTGGGTGATATCCTTCGTCTATCACCAATGCAGGAAGGAAGCATTAGATCCCAATATTATGCCCTCTTCATCAGACATTTGATCCAGTTAAGGAGGAATGCATGTTTCTTGCATTTTCCTCACCAGATACTGATAGGATGAAGTAAAATGAGGAGAAAACTGTTGCTGTAGACTCCAGTGCTTCCCATGATGCAGCTGCTACACAACTCAAATGGCAGATGTGGTGAATGCAGCTATGAACCACATGCTGAGATTTGGCTATCTGGTCAGCCAACTCTCAACCATGTCTTCATAGTCACAGATAGTAGGCCCAACATGCAAAGGGCAACATGTCAGGTACAACCTCTCAGTCCCACTAGGTAGACCAGATGGGGAAATCAACTCCACATGAAGGCTGAAACTAACTTTATTGAGATTGGTTATAATAACAGAATCTTGCAAGTCTAATTAAGCTATGCCTCCTTCTCTTTTTATTCTTCACTTAATTAGGCAGGCATCTGCCCAAGCCACCTCCAAATGTTATCTTGTTGCTCTGGATGTAAAAAATGTTTCAGCCTCCTTTTGGCCTCTTGCATATCTCCATCAAGGTCATCCACCTTACTCTCTATACAAACTGCATGTCACTGTGTAGAGTGTTCTTAATCTGGAGGGGTAATCAGCAGGATCATTCCACCTGAAGCAGAAGTTGCCACTAGAACTCTTACAGACAGTGGTTGGAAGATCACTGGTTATTTCCATCAGAATGTGTGAAGAGATTAGTGCCAGGTCAAGCTCCATCTCTCCCAATGCCTGATCACTCAGGATGTCCCCACCTGACAGATCCTGCCTATTTGTTGTTCATACAGTTGTTGAACAGGTGGTCATGCCTGACAAGACAAGGCACTCCTTGTCCTCCTTGACCTCATGACCAAGGCAGCTTCTCCACTTGAGCTGCTTCTTTTGTGTGTGACAAATCTCTTAAGTGCAAGGATAGCCATGCAGATCAAGCGTTTCTCCGTAGTCCTTTGTACAGAAAAATCTTGGATGAATGCTAGAAGCTAGACTCTGAGGATAGCAGAGACATAGCAGCCTGATTTTACACTACTCATGCAGCAGCTGAAGACCTTAGGTTCCAAGCAAATAATCAGGTATGATCAAAAAGTAAAGATTTGGACTTCCGGGGAAGAAATGGCCGATTGAATACGGCTCCATACTTTCTGGAGCCGACGCCCACGGCAGTTAGAGGAGTTGGCCTTGGTCCGGCTCTTCAAAGTCATCTCCAGATAAAAGAGATCAACAGGATCACCCACCAGTACTCCTTACAGAGATTCCCTGTGGATGGAGTGCTCTGGGAGTCGAGGGAAACATTGAGCCCAAGCTGTGGTGCGGAGCCTTCAAACGGACACTAGATTTGCTTTGCTTTCTCTTTTAACTAACATCATAAACTGCCTATTTGTGATTTATTTGACAATTAAAACCTCCTGAAAGACAAGCTGCTGTACACCAGGAGAATTTTCTACTATCCTGGGAGAAAGAAGACCA